GGGGGGCTCCAATGTTTGTATATGTTCATGGGGGGGGGCCCCAAAGAAAAAGGTTGGGAACCACTGGTCTACACTACCTAACAAAAGTCTTGTCCTCGATCCTCGTTGTAAAAGCACCAAATAAAAACTTGATCTCTAGTTGATCATTTGGAAAAGTGGCAGAAGGTAAATTTTTAGCAAAAGATTCAAAGTAAATCGGCACACTGCCACTTTAGCTCTCAAAAACAATTTTTTTATTGTCAATCAATTCAAGTCAATCATTGTCAAAAAAATAATTTTTCAGAGCTAAAGTGGCAGTGTGCCGATTTACTTTGAATCTTTTGCTACTAATGTTTGTTTTTTGATCGTGCACCTGCTTTCAAGATTTTCTAGATGTGCGCACATTTCTGTTTTTTGCAAGAAGGTAATTTTTTCCCATGAATCATCTGCAGAAGACCTATTGGAACCTGAATGAACCCAAGATTCTCACAGAAATCAGTCAAGCTTGGTGAAAAAAAAAATCATGGTATGGGGTTACTTCAGTATAAGGGTGTGCAAGAGATCTGCAGAGTGGATGGCAACATCAACAGCCTGAGGTATCAAGACATTTGTGCTGCCCATTACATTACAAACCACAGGAGAGGGCAAATTCTTCAGCAGGATAGCGCTCCTTCTCATTCTTCAGCCTCCACATCAAAGTTCCTTAAAGCAAAGAAGGTCAAGGTGTTCCAGGATTGGCCAGCCCAGTCACCTGATTTCCACATTATTAAGCTTGCTTGGAGTAAGATGGAGGCATCGAAGATGAATCCAAAGAATCTTGATGAACTCTGGGAGTCCTGCAGGAACGCTTTCTATGCCATTCCAGATGACTTTATTAATCAGTGATTTGAGTCATTGCAGAAATGTATGGATGCAGTCCTCCAAGCTCATGATGGAGTCAGACACAATATTCATTCTGTCTCCACTGCAGCAGGACTTTATATTCTATACTCCACATTGTTTCTGTGACAAGGCTTTTGTCTAAGCAAAGTCAGACCTTACTGTCCTAATTAAATCAATAAAATTAAGGCATGGCATGATCATATTTTATTTTGGTAAAACACACGTCACCTAGAGGCATTTGCCTTTCATATAAGCCCCTTCTAATACCAAATGATCAACTTGAAGTTAAGCTATTATTTATGCTCCCAATATATAGCTGAAAAGACTTTAGTCAGGTAGTGGATGTTTCTTTGCTTGTGGGAAATGTTTCATAGGTTCATATAGCTCATAGTTTTAGCCTGTGTAACAAAGCTATGGTGTAGATGTTCTAATGTGTAGTACTTCAGATCATTGGTGTATTAAAATTAGAGTAATTCTTTGCAAATGTCAACCTTGACATAAAAAAAAAATTAAGTTTTCATCAAAATAGCAAAACTGTTTTTTCGTGTTTTTTTTTTTTGTTTGTTTTTTTGTAGGCTTGTATTTTACAGTGCTTTAAAAATACTCAAAAATGTTTCTGTCAATGTTTTCAAACAATTATATTTGATATACAAAAGTCACACAAGTAGCAATTTTACATCAGTCACATCCATAACAGAGAGGTGTCACATCCATAACAAAGCTTTCTTATTAAAAATGCAAAAATGTCAAATAAAATAAAGTCAATCATGTTTGTTCTATAGAGAGACGACTCTTATCCTTTTAATTATCATTGTGACTTTTTTGTCACATCCATAACGCATGTTTATTTTTTTCATTTAAAATATGAAAAATGTTTACAGATTGATATTTTTCTGCTCCCATAACCCTGCGGTTAGCTGTGTTGGAAAATATAAACAGATGAGTCAATATAATGTTAACATATACTTTCTATGTGAATTTATGCTTTGAATTTTTACTGCAAATGTCACATCCATAACGCTGGAAATCCTACATGATTTAATGAAATACAGTAGTTTACTGTTAAAAAAATAAATTTCTTTTATGGTTTTCACAGTATTTTTAATTATAAAACACTGGATGCTGTTTTTAACCATACAATTTTACAGATTTTACATTACGGTGTAGCTTTCATCCTCTTAAAACTAGATTTAGCATGTGGCTGTCAGAACAAATAAAAAAAATAAAAAAAAGAGTTGTTCATAGAATCAATTAAATTGTCCCCTTTTAAGTGCCTACCATTAAGTTGGTAACTATACTATTACAAATCAGACTATAAATCCCAGCAACATCATAACAAATGCTAGCGTTAATATGAAAAAATCCTACTTTGTTAAGCTGTAATCTGGATTTGTTTTATTCATAATAGAATGCTAAAAAAATCATGGTTTAGTTTACACAAATATGTGTGTACCGCAAAAAGTTCAACACTAAATCTCTGTCATTTGATCTGTTTTGAGGATGTTTTTTTTTGGTCTTTGCAAGTCTAAAAACTTACTGTTTACAGAGGATGACGGCACTGTCAGATTTCATATATTCTTAATTTGTGTCAAAAAAATAAATTAAAAACTCATGAAAAGACATGAGAGTGAGTAAATAATAACAATTAGAATTTTGGGGTTAGTGTTAATAAGAAAAATATGTTACCAAAATTAGTTTTCATCTATCACTTCTGTGTGAAAGTGTTCAACCGGGTGTTCTCTTCTTGTTTTTATAACTACTTCGTAATCTGGATTTGTTTTAATCATAACTGAATAACAAAAAAATCATGGTTTAGTTTACACAAATCTGTGTGTGTACCACAAAAAGTCCACCACTAAATATCTTTCATTTGGTCTGTTTTGACTGTTTTTTCTAGACTTTTTTTCTGGACATTGCAGGAGTCTGGAAACTCACTAGAGGATGAACCTAGATGTTAGTACTTCAAGACATTGGTGTCTTACCACTATAAATTAACAAAATACAATAATTTATTGTAACAATTTAACATTTCGTTCACGCTTTTGTATTTTTAACTGTAAAAAACTGGCAACCTGCTGTTTTTTAATCGTCGATTTTTATGTAGTTTTTGTAACGATGTACCTTTAACCCTTCTAAAACCAAACTAGATCAACTCTGCTTGCCAGCCTTATCTACGTTAATGGATGTTAGGAAAAATAAAACAGGTTATTCAAAAATTCGTTCAATATTTCTCTTTTTAAGTGCTTACATTAATATGCATGCTAGTGTAAATATAAAAAATGTGTTAACAAAATTAGGTTTCATCCATCACTTCAGTGTGATAAGTGTCCAACAAGTGTCTGTTATGACTACTTTGTTAAACTGCAATCTGGATTTGTCTTAATTATAATTGTGTCCTAAAAAAAAAAAAAACATAAAAAGTCCACCACTATCTTTCAGTTAGTTTGTTTCGACTTTTTCTGGACATTAAATGAGTTTGGAAACTTACCGTCTATAGAGGATGACAATATCTTAATTTGTGTTCCAAAAATAAACAAAAGTCTCATGAAAAGACATGAGGGTGAGTAATTAATAAAACTTTGAATTTTGCGGTGAACTTATCCTTTTAAGTAATCATTACTCTGGATCTGTATATGACTTGAAAACCAACCAGAATACCAGAAATCACCAAGTGATGTCTAGTAAACTACATTTCTCAGGTAAATCACAAAGTAAAGCAATTTTTGCTTTAATATTCACACATTCATACTTTCTCTTTAATAATATCCTTTCAGAAAAGTATTCTTTGTGAATGCCAAATAGTGAAGCTATATTAGCAGCCAACGACTATCAAAGTACAACATTGTTCACAGTCAAATAAATAGTGCTAATTCTGTTTTCAAGTCATACTTGCATGTGCTTTTAGACCCAATAGTTAAAGTAGCAAGTCACAAATAATCACTGTTCAAAAATGAACATATGTGCGGATATAAAACCAACTTTATCCAAATGAAAACACATGAGGGTGAGTAATTAATAACGATTAGAATGTAGGGGTGAACTAACCCCTTTAAATAAGCTTTACTCTATGGCTTGAAAACTCACTTGGGTTTTCCAAAACTTTTTCAGAGCGACCAGAACACCAGAAATCATCATGTGATGTCTAGTAAAGTGCATTTCTGAGGTAAAAATGTTAGTGTAAATACGTGTTGACTTACAGCGAGACGGTCCTGTTGGGAAATGTGTCAGGAGAGGGCACCTGACGGAACTCCATGTTACTGCAGACCACTTTTCTGTCCAGTGTGGCCCCAGAAGGAGAGCTTTTCCCCGCACTCCTGGATCTTTCATCGTATGTTTTACACTCAGTGGATCCTGCAGAGCTCGAGCCTCTGAGCGGCAGCACAAAAGCCAGCAAAAGGACGCAAAGCACCGACATTACTCCAGCCGTCGTTGATATGTTCACACGGCGAAAGAGAAGGGGGTCAGATTAGCATATAAATAGCCTTTCCGTGCTGCTTCTGTTGTTGTTTATAACGAAACACGACAAATATTCGTCCAAAGCCATAGAGCAGAGACGCGGGTCAGCGTTTTAAGTCATAGTCAAAACACAGTCTAGACACAACATTATCAACAAACGGGGTCTGCTTTTCATCCACATATTAAGCAGTCCGAACAGAAGCGCTCAAATGTCCCTCTTTGTCTTCCATAGGTCTCATTTTGTAAACAAAATACGCTGTTTTACACCAAAATAACGTTAATTGCCTTTGTTTCCAGTCAGATATCGCTCCTCCGTACGCAGACAGCAGCTGCAGCAAGGCATCCCAAGATAACAGTCTCACAAACTCAAGGAAATCTGATCACATAAACTTTTTTTCTCGCTCCTTCACATCCCTGCTTTTAAATACTCCATAAAGAAAGCGAAACTCGGTGGATATCACACGATAAGCTAAAAAGCTAAAAACAAAACACGCGATATATCCGCGTGCCGAACAATAAATCCATTCTTGGAAAAGCTGAATGCGTAAAAGTTGGTTTCCACTTCGAGACTCTTCAACGTAACGTTATACTTTAGAAATAAGCTCCAGAGCACACGACGGTGGAGATGTGTTTTTGGGGGGTGTATTTATGAGGAGTGTGAATCCAGGAGTCCTGAAGAGAGATCCTCGCGGTCGGTCAGATGGTCAAAGCGTGAGTGTTAAAAAAAATCCCGGACTCCATGTTACATTTCCTCCCCTGACGTCATCGTAGGTTTGGTCTGACTGAGCTCCACTCAACAGTTCCCAAAGAAATGGTAATAATGTTTGTATGTTTTTTGTATGTTATTATTTGCTCTTAAAATAATGGAAAATGTTGTTATTTTTATACATATAGCGAGGTTTTAATTATTATTTATTTATTTATTTATTTATTTATTTATTTATTTATTTATTTATTTATTTATTTATTTATTATTATTATTCTTGCTGAGAGGCGACAATGCTAACCACTAAGACAACGTGTATTCAGTTACACTGTACAACATAGACTGTAAAGATTTAGCAATCACATAAACACAGCAAACATTTTGCATCCCAAAAGTCTCTCCCACCACCCCATTTAATTTATTTGTAGTAGAAATGAACACCTTAAATATATATGCAAATTAATAACAAAAAGAATGACTTGTTTTTAGATTTCATGTTTTTTTGTTGTTGTTTTTTTTTTTCTGGTGTCAATGAAAAGGTAGACAATCATAAGAATGATTTTATTATTTATATGTAAATGAATAAATAAATTTTTTTTTTAAATTCAAGCAAGTTTTACTGCTATCATTGCTATATTTGATAATTTTATGTTAATATTTTTATTTATTATTATTTTTTCCCTTAATGTTATTATTTTTAAAAATGATCTATATGTATTTATACTTCTATTATATATATATATATATATATATATATATATATATATATATATATATATA